ACCTGCATAGTGGATCGAGCGGCATAGTTGATTTTTTCACACCCTGGTATGATATCAACCAATGTAGAGGGAAAACAACACTTCTCCCAAATAAGAAATCCCCATTGTGGATTTTTTGTCACAACCCATCAATCTTAATAATGTGACTAGATGAGCACTAGCAAAATTGATGTGGGAACACCTAGACTAGAATCTTGTATAAGAGATTATGGCCTCAATATTTCATCCCTCACGAGACTTTGTTCTATGCCCACTGTAGAGCACCAAAGTCTGTTATCTTAGAGAGAGAAAGAGAGAAAATGAGTAGAGAGAGAGGGAGAGTGCTCTATTCTCCAAATTCGTAGTGAGAATCGTGCACTACCGTGTGTCTCTAGAATAAGAAGAAGACTCATTATATAGAGCTCTAAGAGTCTGTGAATTTATTGTTTAAGTAGTTACATGCACCACCTCAATAGTCACCTATTACATGCACCGTCTTAATCTCGACGGCTCTGATTTGTTAAAAGCCGTCATGTCTTCAACAACTAGTGACCATTGGATTTCCCAAACGCGCTATGCTCGCAAAAAAAATTATTGAGCCTCGAGCGCAACCCATATAGGCAAGGGGGCCTTATGCGCCGATATGAGCGTACAAAACAAAAACCCACACCTTTTTTTAAGAATATAAGAATGAGAATGCCGACTCTTAAATACCACGCAATCCACACTCTCATCTTCAATGTAGGACTAAAAACCTACACCTTTATCTCTTTACAAAATAAAGCTTAGAAAAACCACACAAAACCTATATTATTTCGAAATACACACAAGTATTTTACAAAACCAAAATACCAACAGTATAATCTTCCCGAGTAGTACTTATCGTGCAAAAACGTATAGGAAATTGGAGACCCATCTCCTGCTGCATTGCTTGCATCGCATACCTATCTAGTACTGGGTATTTGGATTCATCTGAAACTCATGAACCCGGTCAAATAGTTCTTTGCATAGTGATTGTTCCCACCTCTCCCAAAAGCAAGGTATGTCCTTCAGAGGACGACAATTGACACGACACTATGAGCATTGTGGTTAAAGAGAAGGAAAGAGTTTTTATAGAGCCGAGGTTCTAAGCAATCAAATTGGAGCCCACCTCAAACATTTCACTAGAAGAGGCTGTTTTGATGTTAAAATATCTTCAAATTGATCATCTCGACATAAACATACATAGAACATGAGAATAACATGGATTTCAAGTTGTCAAAATTGTACATCTTGTAACGCCCTTTTGGACCGTCGGTTTTCAAGATTTTTAAGTTTTCATAGATCTGCTCGATCTACAATATTTTTGAAGCTTTAAATTTTATAATTTAAAATAAAAATTTATTTTAAGGCTATCACAAAGATTTCTTGTATTAAAACCACATTTTTTGACACTATTTGAAGGTGCGTTAATTTGTTTAGAGCATCGACTCTATACAAACCGCACCCTAAAGAGAAATAGGTGGGCCTTCCAATAAATCATAAGCTCAGTCTATGCAGTCAAATGAAAGATTATGGCAATAGTCAGTTGGATAGGAGGCGAAGGGGTGTTGAAGTTGTACTTAAATGGGAGCAGCCAATGGGCAAGAATAAGTTGAGTGCCACGGTTCGGCGACAGTTATGCCTTCCCCATTTCTTTCTTCTTTTTTTTTTTTTTTTAATGTTTTATGCATTCCTCTTTTCAGGACCATCAACACCATACTCCGCAAATGAGGCAGAATGCAAAGCAATTATGCAAAGATTGATGTTAATGTCAGATAAGACCATCTAGCAAATTGCCGAAGGACTCGAAAAATGTCATCAATTGATCCTATTATAGACGATATTGGAGATCATCAAAGGCAATAAATCTCCTTCAACTATGTTTATTCATTAGAATGCTCCATAGCGGACTAGCAAGCCGAGGACATCTCCCAGACAAAATTGTTAATTGTTAACTTATTTCGTATAGTCCTTGGAACAATTTTTTATAGCAATATGCACATGTACATCGATTTTCAGTGCTCAATAAATTCATGGCTAACCGTTAAAAGTAATCATACTGTGCCAAATACTTCATTTAATTTGCTGCCCCTATGGTGTATCATATAATACAAATCATGAATGACAGTTTTTTGATAAAGGGCACCAATAGGCGACTTTATGCCCATAATTTACCAATTGCTCAGAAATATTGTTTTAATACCTAACTATTTTCGATTTGGATGAAAATCAGTCAAAGTCGGAAACAGTTCTACGATGGTATGATTTCGAGCCCGGTTCATCCCTAAAACCCCTGTTCTACTTTTATTTTTTAAAGTTTATTTGATGTTTTCTTGTGTCCTTTCTAAATCCCCATCCCCATCCCATAAACTCAGATTCCAATTTTTATGTTATTTTATTATTTTAAAATATTTGTTCATATTACCAACTCGGATCGACTCAAACCCAATCAAAATCACTGATCCAATAATTCAACATAGATCTATGGGTGAACAATCTGCCTACATATATGGATTTTGAAGCACTGCTCAAACAAATGGTCAACAGTCACGTCTAAAAATGTTACAACTTGGGCTACTCATAATACGTATCTGATAACTAAGTGTGAAAATTAAGCACCCAAACACACTTTTAATTTGCCAAGCACTTGTCTCGGTGTGAAATGTTTTTCCCATTTTTGATGCAAGAGGTGCAATATTATGTACCCATTAAGGTTGAGAAACACAAAAATGGTTCTTTTAGTATTCAGGGCTTGTAGGCCCTTCTACATTCTTTGGATGTAGTTTCTATAAGGTTCCAATCTCAAACAATCCACCTCAAACAATCCAATCAGCGCACCGCCAAATTTTATCATAACATGTAATTTTGATGTAAAAAATTATTAAGATTATCTCAAAATTTATTTTCATATCTAATTATAAAATTTTAAACTTCAAAGTTAATTAAAATCAAATAGATCTATAAACATATGAAAATCTTGAAAATGGATGGTCTAGATAATGTGTTGCAATACGCACTATTTCAGAGAAAAATCTTTTTGCTTTCATATTCATACATCTTGATGTCAAGATGATCAATTAGAAGAGCTTTCAACATTAAACAACCTTTATCGATAAATTTTTGAAATGCGTCATTAATTCTACATTTTAAAATTGCAAGCTTATATAAACTTTTTCAATATTCTTTTGTCATGTGAGCTCTTCAACGCTTGAAGTCCATGGCAATCTTTTCTCTACTTACAACATGTACACACTTAGAAGGAAGTTTGGAATATGTCATGTATCATCAACATTTGGCCGCCTTGGATTCATGGCAAGATGATCGTTTTGTTTTTGGGTGCGTTTTGTATAGAGCCGAGACTCTAAATAATCAAAGTAGAGCATACTTTCAAATAATGTTAAGAAATATAGTTTTAATATTGAAAATTTTTGTGATAGCTGTAAAATATATGTTTATGTCTAATTATAAAATTACAAGCTAAAAAATAGTGTAAATCGAGCAAATCTATGAAAATTTGAAAATTGACGGCCCGAAAATGCATACAAGATGCACTATTTCCAAATCTTGAAATCTATTTTTTTCTTGTATCGATGCATGTTGATGTTGAGATGATCAAATTGAGGATATTTGGGCATCAAAACATCTTCTAGTGAAAATTTTGAGGTGTGCTCTAATTTATTTGTTTAGAGCCTTGCAATTATATAAAATTTTTCCTTTTGTTTTTAGTGAATAATTTAATCTATATTGATTGGGACAATATGTATTAAGGTGGGATGTGTTTTGTATCTATATTTATTATATCCTTAAGCTAGAGTTGAGGGGTTGACACGTGTCACAAGAATAAGAATGGATTTTATCTTTAGTTTATATTATATATCTCTCTATCTATCTATCTTCTATCCATCTATCTATTTATCTATCTATACTATTATATCTATCTATATATTTATTTATATCTATCTATCTTCTATCTTTTATTCTATTATATTCTATTTATATCTTTATATTTATACCTGTACACATAGTCAAAGTGAAGAGGTGGACACATAACGCAAGAATAAAAAATAACACTATCTCTAGAGAGATTATAGGGTAGGTGCTTTTCAATAGGGATGGCAATGGGTTGGGTTTGGCTAGACCCGGATCTGGACTCAAATAGTATTCGGGTCCAAAGTTTGGACCCATACTTGCACTGGTCGGCCCCGGGGTCTAGTCGGATCCATTGCCACCTTATAACTATGAGCTTGTTATAAATATTTTTTACCTTTTTTTTTACCATCATATATCCTATGACTATGAGTTGTTTTTTTTTTTTTTGCCAATAATTGTGTAAATGTTGCCAATATTGTGATAAAGATAGATGAACACCTAGGGCACGCCTAAAGACACACGATTGCCCTCATATACCCTATGACCACGGGATACGGGTCAGTTGCCAATATTGTCACAATATAAATACCTAACACATGCCTAATGACACATGATTGCCATCATATATATTCTATAACTATTGAATCCAGACCTGGATCCAAATAGCATTCAGGTCCAAAATTTGAACCTATACTCGAACCTAAGGTCAGATCTATGCATTGGGTCTTGAGTTTGGGTCGATTGACACCCCCATTTTTAAAATAGAAAATAATGGATCCTATCTCAAGAGAAATTTCTAAAAATGATAGGAACTCTTAAATTCAATGGAGAGAGGGACATATATGGGTATGGGTATGGGTATGGGTATGGGAGAGAGCGAGGTTGTTGGAGCTGAGAGGGAAGAGGGTAGAGAGTGAGGGGGGTATGGAAGAGAGGAGGGGGCTAGAGAGAGAGATACGTGGAGTATGAGAGAGAATTTCCGGAGAGAGAGAGAAAATTAAGGAGATATCTCCCAAACTTGAGAAAGAAGATATAAAAGAGAGATTTCAAAATAATAAACAATAATGATAAATTGTAATTTGAATTGGCATAAAATCTACCTTCTAAAGATATTTACATTGGATATTTATATGACCGTTCAGACGAAACGACCCATATAAGCTTCCAAAGATGTTTACATGATCGCTTGGATAAACCGAAGCAGGGTTTTAGTTTACAGAGAAGGCCGGATAGAGACACAATAACCAGAGTGTTAGGGTTTTAGTTTACAGAGAGGGGCAGAAAGAGAATAACCAGAGAACCAGAGAGTTGCAGGAAGATGACTGAAGAGAAGAAGATGATCCTCGTGAGAAGTACAGAGGGAAAACTTTTTGAAGTTGCACAAGAGGCGGCTCTACAATGTGAAACAATTAAAAACATGATAGAGGATGGGTGCACCCCTAGTGAAAAGGGGATCCCACTCCCTAATGTTTCGAGCAAGACGCTTTCGAAGGTAATCAAGTACCTCATCCATCATATGGAGAATCGCAAAGGGAATGATGGAGAGGAAGAAGAGAAGAAGGCTGTGACAGAGCTCCAAAAGTGGGATGAGGAGTTTGTCAATGTCGATATGGAGACCCTCGTCGATATCGCACTGGTACAGATGCTCTATCACATCTTCTTTATTTCTCTTTCCTGTTTCTTTTTTGTATTTTCTTTTTTCTTTGTTTTCCTGATTATTTACTTGGGATTTTATTTTACTGTCTTGTTTTAACTTTGTTGATCCAGCATCACTTTTGATCATGTAAAATAAGTGGTTTCGGTTTATATCTTTTTGTATTTAAGCGTTTCAGCGTGTTTATTCATGGATTTCTTTGAGTTTGTTTTTTATCTCGTGATAGACTAATTTCCCCTTGTGTTTTCTTAAATGGATTGATTCGTGGAATTATTTTTATGTTCATGATCTTTTGATTAATGTATTTGACTCTCTCCCTCTGTCCGAGTCACAAAAAAGGTTATGTTTGAGATTTTCTTTTGTGTTTATTTTAGTGTTTGTAAAGTTGGAAAATTGTTTCATACGGTCCAAAAAGTGTAAAGCATCCATCTTTAATATGGATGCAAGTATGTGTTTCATCCGAAAACAATGGAAACTAACGGTCCAAATATTTTCTTACTAGAATTATTATTTCTAGTTTTTAGAATTTATTTATTTTTCCATATTCATGATCTCCATGTTAGAGATTACATGTCCTTAAAAATTAAATCTTAAAATCCATCTCAAAAATAGATTTATTAAGAGGCCCACATTTCTACATATGTGGGCTTGGCCGCATAGAAACCGGGTCCTTGTAAGTTTTTTATGTAGTACGGTTACGATGGGATGCATCGTGGAGATCAAAGGAATAATAGCTATGATTTCATTGGAGCTTTTACGGTCGGTAGTATTTAAAGTTGGAAAAAGTTTATATAAGGTTGCAACCTTACCTCTACAGCTATGGATGCACCTCAAAAATCCATCGGAAAGGATAGTTTGAACATTGAAAAAGCCTGTGATTGATCATCTCGACATCGAGATGTATGACCATGAAAAATAAAAAGATTTTAAGTCTCAGAAATAGTGCATTTTATGACATATTATCTACACCGTCCATTTTCAAGTTTTTCATCTGTTTATAGATCTGCTTGATTTTAACCATTTTTTAAATTTAAAATTTTATAATTAGATATAAAAATAGATTTTGAGCTAATCCTAAAAACATTTTACATCAAAATTATATACCATGGTAAAATTTGAAGGTGCACCTTACCTCTACAGCTACGGATGCATCCGTATGCCAATGGCACCCTTTAAATAATGGTTGAGGGAGTTGAAGGAAGTCTTTGAATATTTACATCTTATTATTGATTTATTCTGGAGAAGAAAATAAGCTTGTGATGCTTTGGTGATTGATTTCCTTATTTGGTTACTTTGGGCATCAATTTGTGTTTGGTGGTTTGATTTTTGCATGCTATAGTATTTTTATTGAATTATAAGATATTAGGGCTTGAGTCAAGATGTTGATTGATTTGGAAGTTTGCACTGTTTTGAGGGTATTTTTGAACCTCTTATGACTGAACATTTTCACTACTTGATGATTATTATTGGAAGTTCTTTGCGAACTATTTATAACTGTTTATTATATGAATTAGATCTTCAAGGTTTTATCCATGTGATACTTCTTGGTGAAGTGCACACAGGTTGAACTTCTATTTTATGTTTT